TCTCTCTCTCTCTCTCTCTCTCTCTCTCTCTCTCTCTCTCTCTCTCTTGTCTGTTTCTTTACACAATTTATTGGCTCAATTACGATTGCGATTTTGTTTTCTGTCTGTTGTATATTTTTCTTTCTTCATTGCGCTTTTCATAGATATACCTAATACGTGCATAGAAATCAAAGCGAGTATTGCTTCGCACGATTTATATCGCGTAAAATGAGTCGGCGAACAACACGAATGCATAATATATCCAAAGAGAAAAAAATAAACGATCGATAGCATTGCTGCGTTTATGGTTTCTTTTCTGTTTCGTCGGTTTACACAGAATGAAAAAGAAGAAATATTAATTAGTGGGAAAACATTCCAGGTTAAGATAGAGTACAATTGAAGTAGGTCGATAGCAATGCGTTAAATGTCAATGGTGACAAAAAGATTCAAAGTGAATTCACTTCATTAATGCCACTAAAATGTGGAAATTGTAACCGCACACATTCATTCTTCATCGCATTGAAATTGGCTTCTGTTGTTTCTTCAGTGGATTTTGTTTCTTCACCCAATAACACCCATGCAATTCGATTAATGCACTGGCATAAATGTGGCGCAAGTTTTCAATGAATGTATGAATGAATGGATTTAGCGGCGACAAGTCAAACACATTGGATTTACGCGGGTTTACGGTTGTTTATAATCACTACGTGGCGCTGTTCCCAGTCGAAAAATGGAGAAATTACTGGTCATACTTACCTCTCTATATTTACGAATTGATCGATTGATTGATTGATTGACGTCGCATTCGACGTTGCGCATAAATGTTAGCATTTTAAATCGTTGACGCTAAGCAAATCGGAATGGTGAAATGAAATGGTTTGGCTGTGTTAAAATGAAATTCCGCGGCATTTCGGTGAAGCCAAAATTATCTATGACGAAATTCTTCAACCAGTTGTTAACAGCCGAATAACATTCAAACTATTCAGTAGACAAAAATAATTGCAGACAATAAAATTAGCTAAACATATTTGTTGGATTTTATTTGGCCCATTTGGTTTGTCAAATTTGTCTGTTGTCAGAATGCCGATGTTTTATGGGCAATAAATCCCCATGCCTTTTCATGAAGTCTGACGAAATTTAAAACCACGTGAATCCGACTATGCGTTCGATATCGAATTAAATATGTAAATACCAAATATGATGCATGATGGCCTTTAACCGCTGCAATTGACGCTACTTTGAGAAAAGAAATTTTGGGTTATGTTAAACTTTTTGTTCCGACATTTATTTCACAACATGAATTCAAAAAGTTTGTGGTGATTTCTGGTACCAAAAATATTTCCAACTTTTTTTTCACTATAAAGTCAAAAAAACTTTGTGGTGCTCTAGCTGCAAAAATATATCCAGTACCGAAAATCACCACAATGTTTTCAAGTTCTTGTTGTGAAATAAGTATCAAAACACAAAGTTTAACATAACCCAAAATTTCTTTTCTCAGAGTAAATAAATAAGTCTACAGAAAATACATGTGCTGTGTGCATTTATTTGATTCACACCACAGAAGAAAAAAAATGTATAACTTACCGTTTGGTTAAAAGACCTCTTCTCAATCCTCTCTGACGTAAATAACATTTACGGATGAAGAAAAAAAAATTATCGACATTATGTTGTCTCAAGCATCCGAAACTCAATGACCACTGCATGCACATACACACAACAGAACGGATGGCGAATAAACAAATAAAAGCAACAGAACCGAGTGCATAGACTAATAAAAACCTCAGTTTAATTGCAACGTCAACAATTTTAAGTCAAGTTATCCTCGGCACCATTACCTTGAAAATAATATTATTAACGTTTCGGTTCTTGAATCAGCTTCAATCAAATACATAAACAGAGAGAAAGAGAGAGAGAGAGAAACATCATTACATTTGCATCGTATTTGTTGCCGCCGGTCGTTCACTTAGTTCATGACCATCGCCATTGAATTTGCGAAGCACATTTGAAGCACTCGTGAGCCAAGGCAAAGAATTCAATTCTTTTAAGCATTTGTAGATACACTTTAGATAGTACCGCTTCAAGTTCACTATATTCGGCCTATGCATCTGTTGAAACCATGTGAATTTCGAACTTGGGATTATCTTCTTGAATATTCAATTATATTTTTCAGATGAACGCCTCGCATCATTTTAATTATCAATTTCATTTTGTCAAAATATTCATCGCCATCATTTCTCCATGTGAAAAAGAAAAAAACGAAGTGAGAACTCCAGTTTCGGCTTGACACATTGACAAGACCTTGTATCACGAAAAAATATGCTACAATTAAAAAAAGGCTCTGTTGAGTGCGACGCAACTCGTTTCCCTTGATCACGTATTTTTTTTCAGTTGTTACATGTACAGCAGCTGACATTCAATATGAGCTTCAGTGCATTCATCGCTGTAAGCTTGAATTAGTAAAAGTTTTACAGTTGAGAATGAAAAGTGCTGATTGTGCGCACACAACAAGAATATATTACAATAAATTTTGGTTTCATGAATACTGGTTGTCAGTTGTTGACACGTTTCATTGATAATGTTCATTGACTTGCAGAATGAACGACGAAAAAAAGTTCGCAAAATAAATAAACGACGGTGTAGATATCGGTTAAGGTTTCTCAGGTGCAACACCTATTTGACTCAAAAGGGAATTCAATTGCGCATAAAACTAGAATCTACAAACAATACTTGTTTGCAAATTATAATTTCTTCTAAATAACGATGATTATTTTATCTGATTTGTTTGTTTTTTTTCGATCACCTTTTCAGGTCTCTTGTATGCATCAAGCTTGAACGCGTACAATAATAGCAATGGAGCTTCGTCGCAGTTTGATATGCCAACACATCAGCCACATAGATCGGTACATCTGAGTCCTATGCATAGCAAATCGACAAAAGATACATCGAGTACGCCACCAACACCACCACCACCACCACCACCCACCGGTGGAAACAGTGGCAATGGAAACGATAAACCACCCAGCGACACCGAAACAACGGCATCATCGGGCAGCGAAAGTGGAAATGAACCGCCAAATAAAAATACAACGATGACCTGTCCACGCTGTGGTGATCCTTGCTCACATGTCGGCACATTTGTCAGTTTGTCACGGTTCGTGAAATGCGTGAAATGTAATCACTTCTTTGTGGTGTTGAACGATGATAAAAAATTGAAAAATGCACCACTTAAAGATAGCATAAATCCGAACACTGACCGAAGGCAACCACCGCCACCCAAGAAAATTATGGAATATTTGAATAAGCATGTAATTGGTCAAGATCTCGCTAAGAAGGTATTATCGGTGGCCGTCTATAATCACTACAAACGCATTTATCACAATGCTCCTAGTTCGAATAATAGTAATCAATCAATGGGCGATTTCCCATCGGCAGCTGCCGCTCGCGGTGGTGATTTATTGCATATATCAGGTATCGGACACACAATGGTCAGTTCACATCAAAGTGAATTGCCACGATCCGGTCAACAGCAACAAAACCAACCACCTCCTACGGCTGCAAATCAACCCGTTTCCGGTTCCGAATTACTTGACCAGAAAACCCATGAGCTCAAACTCGACAAAAGTAATATTCTAATGCTTGGACCTACGGGTTCGGGAAAAACTCTGCTGGCTCAAACCATTGCCAAATGCTTAGATGTTCCGTTTGCAATTTGTGATTGTACCACGTTGACACAGGCTGGTTATGTTGGCGAAGACATCGAAAGTGTTATCGCTAAATTGATGCAGGATGCTAATTACAAGTATGTATCGTGATCAAAATGTATTATCTCCGCTGTCACCAATTGATCACTTTTATTAAAATCCGTCGTCTTTTGTTACAGTGTCGAACGAGCACAATTAGGTATCGTTTTCCTTGATGAAGTTGATAAAATTGGTGCTGTGCCCGGAATACATCAGCTGCGTGACGTGGGCGGCGAAGGAGTGCAACAAGGAATGCTTAAAATGCTTGAGGGGACCATTGTGAATGTACCAGAACGTAATTCACCACGCAAACTTCGAGGCGAAACAATTCCCGTTGACACAACAAATATTCTCTTTGTGGCTTCCGGAGCATACACTGGTCTCGATCGATTGATTGCCAGACGTCTCAATGAAAAGGTTCGTTGACAAAATCCAAATACCCAATAATACAATCAAGAACTCTTGGTCATTTTAATTGAATTTTCCAACTAATAAATGTGTGTCAAAACAGTATTTAGGTTTCGGTATGCCAACCAATTCATCGGAGGGAAGACGAGCTGCCCAAGCATCAGCAGCACCAATGGAAAATGATCAAACGGAAAGAGATGCATCGCTTCGCAAAGTTGAGGCTCGTGATTTAGTTGAATTTGGAATGATTCCGGTGTGTAAATCGATTTTTACTCTCCTTAAACACCTCTTTTTCTCGAAATCATCGATTGACTTGTATTCTTAAAATTCCAGGAATTCGTTGGCCGCTTCCCAATATTAGTTCCATTCCACAGTTTAGATGTTGACATGCTGGTTCGCATTTTGACCGAACCGAAGAACGCCTTATTGGAGCAGTACAAAGCATTGTTGGCGATGGATAATGTCTCCCTTAAATTTTCAGACGAAGCTCTAAATGCCATTGCGAAATTGGCCATGGAACGACAAACCGGAGCCCGTGGTCTTCGCTCAATTTTGGTAAATAGTCCCTTTTCTTGTCGATTTTCAACTTGAGCGAATTGTGCTAGATTTTATTTTCATTAACTCTCCGCTTAATTTTTTCTTCAGGAAAAACTGTTGTTGGATGCAATGTTCGAAGTTCCTGGTTCCGATGTAAAAACGGTTCTAATTACTGAGGATTGTGTCAAGGGTTTGTGTCCACCCGAATACATTCGTGGACCATCCAGTTCAACGAGCACCGACGAACCGCCAAACACACAAGCCACTTCCACCGAAGAAGAAGAGAATGCACAAGTTCGTGTCAAACAATAACCATAAACGCATTAAAAATAATGCGCCCATCCACTAGACAACATTTATTGGATCCATTTGAGCAGTTTTTAGAATTTAAAAATGAGAAAATAAAAAAAAAACAAAAAAAAACGATCAGAAATTAATTTAACTCTACAAATATTCACATAAGTTGAGAATTGTTGAACAGAATGCGAAAATTTTTCCAACAAAAAAAAAGGTTCTATTTAGACATATTATATATCAATCGTCGATTGATTACGCTGTAACGATTACTATAATCAATTAAATACATTAAATGAGAAAAAAAAATTGTTACTTTAAAAAAGGAATTGTGTTTTGCAAAAACGTGTCCACAAAACCGAGCGATAGTAGTTTGACTATTCACACAAACATTGAAGATGTTATCCTAAGATTCTTTTTCTTTGTAAAAAAAAAACAAAAACAACAAATTTAAACGTTTAAAAATTCGGACGGTAAGGTTTTAAAAATAAATGTTTTTGCTGATTTAATAGAAATTGAAAATGAGACTGTTTTATTTCGGTTTATGTTTATTTCATTTGACATTCACATTGAGCACGGTTCAAGTTGCAAATGTTTCCAAGAGAATATCGCTTGCTTGTGTCGGTTGACGAATGAGAATAAAAAAAACGTGATCAATAATTCTAATCATTGGTCACAATAATGGAATTACGTTTACTTCACCTCCAACCACTTGGCAAGTCATAATAAAAATTGATAACGACACCGCAGGACAGGGGTTTTTCTGTTCTCATCATCTTGGCTTGGTGTGCATTTTTAAGGTCATTGAATCGTTCTTCACACGTTCCACTGAATTGATATCAATTAAATAACACATGTTTTAATGAACTGCGCATTATTGATAAGCAGCGGCGTTTAAATAATCACATTCAGCTTCTTGGTAGAGTTTTTTCTTCCGACTTTCAAGTAAATAAAATGATAGATATTTACAGACATTCATTTTATTCAGTTTTTATTTGACATATTTCTAAAATGGACAAATTGTATACATCCATTGTTATAAAAAAAATTCCATGTTGCACTTTGAAACTAAAATATTCTGAGGGAATTTGTTTGTCGCAACGGTTCATATGTGAGTGTGTATGTGTGCTTAAATCACCTAAATTAAATTTCACGAAATATATTTATCTAGAATAAAAATATACTATGTTGACCAGTTTCGATCACTTTGTGAAAAATAATCTTACACAGAAAAAAGGGGACACATTTGATTCCACTGAGTTTGAATAGACTCTGTTCCTCGTGTTTATTTCTGTTTCGAAAAAATAGTTGAACACATATTCATACATTCAGTTGATGCTTTTTCTCTCAATAATATATAGACATTCAATTGTCTGTTTCATAGACGGTTTGGTTAATATGTTTTATGTTGTTTTTGCCAGAGCAATATTCAACTCCAACAATAAATTTTGGAGCCAAAATATGAGTTAAATTCGAATTTAAGGTTTCAAAAGAATTTTGGTCCAAATAACATTCCACTAAATATCGTTCCACTTGTTGTCATAACAATCGTTATTAATAATACCACCAAAAATAGAAATCTGAAAAAAAAACTCATTTTGGACGCAATTGGGTGTCAAATGTGTGACTGAAAAGCTATCAACTTGTGGAACATTAATTCCATGCAAGCTATATAAAATCGACCTCACTTTTTTTCTGGCGAGACTTATTACTCGGAGTACCTCCGACGGAGGTGTTGTTATTTACGATGCACTCGTAACATTTACAATCCATCAATTATTGATAAATCTAAATGAGTTCAAGAAACAAATGTCATTCTGTCTTGTTTCGTAATATTGATGCTTTGATAAGGCCATGATATGTTGATGTTGTTGCACTCAATTCCAAACATTGAGGGACGAAAACAAAAAACATCTTTGTCTGAAACCACATTATCTAATCTAATATCATTTGAAAGTATACGAATTGTCGTAGCTACATCGTCCCCATTCATGACTCCATACAAAACACTTAACATATACAATGAATATAAATTAGAAAACAAAATTCAAAATAACTTATTAACGAAGGGGAAAAAACGCAAAAAAAACTTTTACAAATGTGTGTAAATCTATGGCTACATGTGATTGTGAGTGTTTTGTGTAGATAGTAGTATTTGTGCGATGACGAGCATTTTTCGATTAAATATCTCCGCTGTCCATTGCACTGTTCAAATCCTTGACGATGGCGGTAACCACTTCTCGATACGGAGAATCGATGCGAAAGCAGGTCTCCAGTAGTTTGGGATCGTTGAAAAATGCAAACACTTCGTCAATTCGGCCAAGTGATTTTTCGGTTAGATGCCGCTCGACGATGGTTTTCAATGCCGCATGAGATTCATCCAGGGATTTCTGCAAGTATGGTAAGTCGAAACTGAATTCCACCTCATGGAATGAAATGACGGCCATTTGAGTATTCTGGAGAAGTTGGAGAAGGAAACCCATAAGAAATTGCTTAATTCGATTTTGGATAGAACAAATTATGAACAAGGATAACATCGAGCTATTTCCAAATAATTAAGAAAAACTGGCGTTACTCGTACAAACCATGTAATCATCGAGAAGTTTTTCGCGTTCACAACATGAACGACGTGCATTGCACGCGCGCTGGCGAAATGTAATTACCTGAAATTTATTTCGGAATTTTTCAACCACTTTCAGCTCGTCATTATTGAATTGATTGTTCCGGTGTAGTATGCCAATTTTGATGACGATCTTTATGATATTCTTCACCAGGCGTTCGGCTTCCTTCTTATTACCCGTCTGGAAAAATGGATAGAAAAATGCACCAGGAATATTGTACATTCTAATTCAATTTCCGTTCAATCTATTTATGACGGCAAAATTTGGTTAAACTTACGTGCAACTTGGCCAGTCGATAGATGTTGTCGAGCAACGCGGCTGTCGTTCCGTCAATAAATGTTTTAGCAATCGTTTTTGTGGCCATCCTTGATAGGATTTTCTTCTGTGCCCGAAGCCCAATATCTCGTGCTCGAAAAGCATTTTCCGTCATGACTAACAAACGAAACAAATAAAGAACACATGATTGATAAGCAACAACAAAAAAGAACAAACTCTGAAATTGAGTTATGAAATCATTTTCAAGCGAAAAACTGATTGCTTATTGATAAGGTTGTTTGTTTTAGATTCACTGAATGCGATAATAATTTACGTTTTAAACTTTTCAATACGGATGGTTTCTTTGATGTTGTCATATCGATCGAATTTTTATTGCGTATCGCATCAAAATTCGCAAGAATTCTATTTCTGTGGATGTTGCACCTCTGACTACTTGATAAAAACTAGTTTATGTCAACATTTCTGACTCACTGCGACGTCTTTCGATAAACGAATTCGTTGTCATCGTACGCGACAATAATTCTTTTCAACAGCAGAAATATTCACTGGATGTATAACATGTTTACGCAGTGGATATGGCACTTGCTTCGTAATACGAACTTCATATTGAGACAGGTGCAAATTTACGACAAACATCACACAAGGTGACAGAATGCTGGCCCAAAACAACAGCTGCCACTCTTTTGTTTTTTTTTCATTTAAATTCCACTTTGCATTCCATCTAGATATCTCGTGTGGTGGCTGCCGGTAGTACTTTTGTTTTCTTCTTTTGATGATAATATACATATGTTGAAACAACGGAATGGGAAAAAAATAAAAAGAAGACACATCGCCGCAGTGCAATGAATAAATCGAATAAGACGGCACGAGTGAGCAACAGCACACTTCAAGCACTGCTCAATGAGTTGTTTTTCTTTCTTCTGCTTATCAATTAGTTAGTATTCTTGCTTGCTTGAAATTCTTGCATATGAAAAAAAACGAAGAAAATGGAAGTTTGTTCGTTCCATCCAATTACAAAGTGATAGCAAATGCAAATGATTTGATGTGGTAAGCCTTGAAACATTGAAATTGAAAAGTTCTACGATTCAAATGCAAACAAACTGAACAACAAAAACTGTGGTGTTATCACAATTTGCAACAGAAAGTTGGTCGTTGAATTGGATTTAAAAATAGCCATAAAACTCCCATACACATTTGAAAGAAAAACAAAATACAATCAAAACGATAAAATCTGTCGGTGAAAAGTCCAACAGAACCAATTCCAAGAACGAATCATTTCTTTTATCGGAATCCCTTCTTTCTCTGCATCTCGACCGACCAACCGCAAACAAAAACCGATTGTAAAAATGAATGAATGAGGTTTTAATGGTAAAGATTTTGCAAACAATGCAATAGATCCATGCTTATGGCTTCGAATTCGTCTTATATATCGAAAACAATGCCATTCAAATTGAATCCTAATATAAATTCTTTGTTATTTGCAAACGAGTAGAAATATTATATCGGCATTAGAGTTCTTGTGATATACGCTTGTGATAAAAAGAGGGATTTGTCGGCAATTCAAACACATATTCTATGTATAAGAAATTAAATCTGCCCACGCAGACCAACCCAAATGCAGTACATCACATCCATTCTTTTTTGTTGCAAGTTAACCGAAAACCATCGTTCGTAAGCACAATCGTTGCGTCCAATCTCGAGTTTTAATTGATATATATATATACATAGTTTGTGTCGACGGAAGTTTTTGCAAAATTGCTGAAACCTCGATGCATTGAATCAAAGGGATATTGCAACTTTTTTGACCAGAAAAAACGCCATCTTACGTCGTGCCCGTAAATTATTTTACTATACATTTAGATGGTAGAGCTTGAACAAAAGTTCGACACTACTACTAACTTGGAAAGAGCTTGATAAACTTGACGAAATACATATATTTTATGGTCGTTGCAATACCCCTATGCATTGAATGAAGCAGTAACTGTAGCCAGTTCAACTTTCATATGACGAAACTCATTAGATTTAAATTGCCGTATACGTATCGCTCTGTTTTATCTCATTACTTTTTGTACTTTTTGATCAACCAACATTTGCTGCTACTGTGTGCATGTGTATGTGAGTGTGTATGCATCACTTGGTATCACTGCAGTCAAAACGAATCGAGAGAGTGCATTACGAGTGAGTGGATCGTTGGAGCGAACGCAAGTCCAACGAACAATGGCAAAAGGAAATTCCGCGAAATTGCAATTCCTTCGACAAGGTCGTTGTGAAAACATTTCTTTCGTCAATTCTGGTGTACAACATTGCAAAAAGTCTTGTTGTGCCACAAGAAGTAATACAAAGATTATCGATGAAGAAGAGACGATGACGACGATGAGTTGAAACGGATGAAACATAAAACGAACCAGATTCTCTCAAGCAAAGAATGTGAATGCGCTTGAAACTGACAGAAACCCAGACGGAGAATCGCTTGAGAACATGTTATACGACTTTGTTTGTTTCTTTTCTTCTCTTTTCCATTCCTTTCTTTTCATATCATTGAACCGATAACTCGCAGCGGTTTTTGTGTTCTTTCACTCAGTTCTTCGGCTTCGTTTGGTTGTTTCGTAGGGCGTATCTGGTTTGAAAGTATTCAACTTGTATAGATTGTATAACAAGGAGAAAATGAACAGCTCAGCTGACGACGACGACCACAACGACGACATCGAGAACATTCAACGAAAAGTATGGATTTACAGTTATTTGTTCACTTCTTCGATTGGTAGGCAATAAATTTTGATCGAATTGCAATTTCATATCAATCGATAATTTCCTACGTCATTTGGACACCCAAACGATATACGCTCCTATATGATTAATTGAATTGATTTACTCAAATTACCGCTTACCTTTTTCTACCATTGGAATACCCGATAAACCAAAAACAAAATGATAAAATCTCGTTTGATAAGACGAACTCTCTCGTTCAAAGCAAATCAAAATGTGACTCGTAATGAATGAAACGTACACTTGAATTAACTCAAAAAAACGTCGGATTGTGAACGAAAGAAAATTGTGTGTTCTGAAATTGGAAATAAAAAAAAAGAGAACAGAAATGATAAATAAAAATGAAACAATAATAAAGTCAACTTAAATTTAGAATTGAACTTAAACAAATGGGTAGAATTAATAGAAGAACTTGTGCAGATTGTTGATTCGCAACATTGAATAAATAACGATAATTGTTGGACGCATTGCTTAAACCAACAGTCAGTTTGTTGAATGGAAACATTCTCGTTGATTGCATGGCACTCTCGCCCATAGAAAAATAATTTGAATTTGCGTCATTTACAAAAGTGAACAATTGCGGCAATCAATAATTCAGCGAACAGGCCGCTTCGGAATGGCCATATTTGTATGCAGTTCTGTGTGTAATATTGATAATCCGATTGAAAGCGAATCAAAGATGGTTTAAACCAATGTGGAATATAAAGTAATAATATTTCCTGCTATGGATTTTGCCGGTGTGTTTTTTTTTATGTACACGCGTGCCTCATAATTTATTGTCTATTCGCTATTTTTCCATTCAATTTGATCCGCCGCACGTTGTGTGTGCGCGTTTTTTTCCTCTTGCCATTTCTCCGTCGCTCTTTCTCTTCATCATATAACCATTTTCACTTATTATTAATGCCCAGAGATATGAAGTGGTATATCGTGCGTCACACTTGGCGCTGGCTAAACACATACAGAACAATGCACTTGCATTGGATATATGTGTGTTTTGGTTGGAATGCAAATCATGCTTAATATCTGCACTGAGAAAGGCATATGGTAATGCATCTAATATGCAAGTGCCATAATAGCCGGAAGTTCATTGTATTTGGGGGGGAGATAGCGAGAGAGAAATGGCACGGTCCCGGACAGTGTGAATCGAACGTGCCGATGGCATCCAATCAACATCGACACGATTATTATGAGAGCAAATATATTTTCTAAATGATAGAAAACTCGCAGCTATTTTTAAAATGGCATTCCATGCAGTGGAATTTGAGTAAAATGAAATGGAAAAAAGAACCGATTCATTTGCCTGTTGTAAAATATCACGCAGTGCACTTAAAATAACATTTTCAGCATATAATTATTTGGTTTTGTGTGCAATGCACGCTGGATGCATTTAAATCGAAATCACCGCACACTTACACAAGCAACCGGCACAATCAATCGCGACACGTTGGTAGACAATCCATGTTTGAAACTCTAGAATATTCGCATAATTGCTCATGCTGCAGTCATTCGTGTGCGTCTCTTTGCTTCTTCTTTTTTATCGTGTACAGCAAACAAATTGTTCCAATGGTTAGACTCTCCAATCGACGACAATAGCCTGTGTTGAATGCACGTCACCTTTACATCTGTTCCATTAATATCAATTGAAATGTGAAATCAGTGTGGAATCTATCTGAAATGAAACACAAACAAACAAAATAAATTGCTAATATTAGCTACGAGAGATACCAACAGCAACAACAACAACTACAAAAATACTAATAATAAATAGAAAATCAACAAAATCACACTAAATTGACACGTCGTGTGGAACGTGTGCATCTGAATTTTCTGAGCAATATTATAGGCTGAGAGTGAGAAGGAAATGGCGCCGATTTGATTGCCGAAATTACTTACAATTACGCTTTAATCAAATAAATGGATGCGTATGAAAGTTGGTGGATTCAAAAAAAAGATCATGATCTTGTTTGTTCGTGTAAACACACAGTCATTTCTATGATTCAACGAAACTCAAAATGAGAAAAAAAATCGAAGTGGCGTTGCGTTGCCATGTAGTAATTAAATGCATCAAATTAATTAGAGCGTCGAAAAAAAATGAACAAATAGAAATAAGCTGGCATTATAGAGTCTATTACATGTTTGTATGGAAAATAAAACACGAATAAAAAAATACTTTTCCACTCTGATTGGCGGAGCCAGCCCCATATTCGACAATGGTAAACAAAAAGGATAATTGAATTAATCCATCCGCAGAATGGCGACGAACCAAACCGAAAGCTATATTCCATAAATTTATTAATTTAACAGTTTAATTTTGTTTGATTAACACGCTACTGTTGGTGTATCAAGTAAAAGTCATTAGCTGGTAGTTTTCCTCACGTGAAACGTGAGAATGGGCTTGACTCGCAACAATATTATTGATCGCTGTTTTTTTCTACTCTCTTTTTGGAATTTCAGTATTTTACAGAGACATTGTGTACTACAAAGTTGTAATTTTCCATTGTCAGATATTTACAAATCGCGCATAAAATGATAATTCGTGGAAAAAATGGTGGTGGTGGTGGCGACGACTATCATCGCCGCCGCCGTCGTCGTCGTTGTCAAACCGCGAAACGTTCCGAAGTTGGTACTTAGTAAAATGTAAACAAAAAAGTTCATAGTCTTAAATGAATTTCATTAGACTGTAAACATTGTTATGATATTTCCATATCACTGAACATGTTTACAAATAAATTGCTTGTATATTGTATATTGGCAGTGCTGTGTGGCTGCTGCTTTTCCTCTCTATTGATTTGTCTCATGATATACGTATGTATGTATCTATCGAAATTCCGGGCATTAAACTGGAGCTAGAGCACATCAATCATTCGATGGTTGTGAAGTGAGTGAAATGTTGACATTTGTTGAATCTAAATTACTCATGTAATGTGACACATATCAGCAATAACAAAGCCAAGGGGTGGATAAATCGGATGATATAGATTAATTTGGAGGTCAAGCAGAAACACGAAGAGCTTATTATGGATTTATGAATGTGTGATTACGGAACAAATGGGCGCTTAACGGTGATAATAATGCCCGCATGTGGAAAATCAAAGTATCTGTTCATTTTTCCGTAGACCTCAAAAGGTGACTCAATCAAAAAAAGTTAAGTATCAAGTTTGATTGTGTCAACGAGATAAAATGTTGAAATATAAACCCCAACGACAAAATGCGTCATTCACTTACAATTTATATATGGGATTCAATGTCACAGCCATCTTCACTCATATCGTATTTTATTGAGACAAGACAAAGTAGACGGGCTATCAACGGGAGCTAAATGTCGAGTTTAACTACGCAAAAGAGCGCAAACAAACAGCGTTGCAATTCAATTACAAATATAGGACAGAGAATACGCATCAAGTGCATCTCCATGAAACAAAAAAAAGCCTTCGAACAAAAATTTAATGAACTTCGTGTTGCTTGAAACAACTGTCTACATTTATTATTCTTACTGTTTCCGTCTGCTGTTAACGGCAATCAACCCAAGAAGCCGCCACTTTCATTTTATTCACATTTCGTGAATTGGAAACAGTGTGTGAAACATCTGTCGTTGCTAGGGTCTACGAACGTTACAAACAAAAAAAAACGTAGTCAAAAAGACGCGGTCGATCACGTGTGTAATGAAAAAAATGCACTTCCCCTTCGTGGCAAATGCTAACGTATTTTTCTTTTGTTGTGTAAGATATACACACATTCTTTTGAGAACACATGGCATATATAGTATATATGAATGGGTGAGGGCAAAAGTGAGACTTGAATTCAGAATACATATAAACAAAACAAAAACGAATTATTTTTTTAAAGTGTAACATCGACAGAGATTTTTTAAAAGTGAAACACCGCGTGTTACATTTCAATAAAATTTGTTTTCCATGATTCACTTTGAAAAACGTTTGCGGCGATGTTTCGTTTCGAAATATTTTTGTGTTGGTATTGCATTTAATTGATTTTCTTCGCATGTTTTGTTTCAATATATTTTTATTTGATGTTACAGTTCGATAAATTGTCGCAATTAGATAATATTATTAAATTTTTGCATATGGAAATATCTCGAAAACGGCTGGGTAAAACGGCAAAATGGACCGTGATGTCACTCCCGAAGGGAGTGTACACACCTGGCTGGTTTGATGGCCTAGAATACAAATCCGGTGCAATTTGGGCTGATCCATGGATTCTCAGGATTCGACCTGGTTCCAGCACTTCAATGTCTTTCCGTCGTGGTGAAATTCCATACAAAACATAGGGAATATGACTTTACAGATGCACATAAAAGAGGAAGCACTGGAATCTGGCCAAATCCAGAGAATCCATGGATCAGCTGAAATTTCACCGGATTTGTATTCTAGGCCATCAAACCAGCTGGGTGTTTACACTCCCTTTGGGAGTGACATCACGGTCCATTTTGCCGATTTACCCAGCCGTTTTCGAGATATTTCCATGCGTAAATATTTAATAATATTATATTCAATTGCATTGGTCTATATGGAAAACAATCGAGCGCCGAGAACTTATGCTGTTTCGCTCACTCTTACGTGCAATTTTTACGTACATCATAATCGGTTGTCTTACGAACAACAGAGCCGCTCGCTTCGTTTCTCTTGAAAAACATTGCACACAAACACAAACACGAACACGATTGAACATGTTTTGCTTTACACGTGCATATGCCTGTTTATGTTTGCAACATTTATTGCGCGTAAATTTTCAAGAGGAACGAAGCGAGCGGCTCTGTTGTTCGTAAGACAACCGATTATAATGTACGTAAAAATTGCACGTAAGAGTGAGCGAAACAGCATAAGTTCTCGGCGCTTGATGGTTTTCCATATAGACCAATGCAATTGAATATAATATTATTAAATATTTACGCATGGAAATATCTCGAAAACGGCTGGGTAAATCGGCAAAATGGACCGTGATGTCACTCCCAAAGGGAGTGTAAACACCCAGCTGGTTTGATGGCCTAGAATACAAATCCGGTGAAATTTCAGCTGATCCATGGATTCTCTGGATTTGGCCAGATTCCAGTGCTTCCTCTTTTATGTGCATCTGTAAAGTCATATTCCCTATGTTTTGTATGGAATTTCACCACGACGGAAAGACATTGAAGTGCTGGAACCAGGTCGAATCCTGAGAATCCATGGATCAGCCCAAATTGCACCGGATTTGTATTCTAGGCCATCAAACCAGCCAGGTGTGTACACTCCCTTCGGGAGTGACATCACGGTCCATTTTGCCGTTTTACCCAGCCGTTTTCGAGATATTTCCATATGCAAAAATTTAATAATATTATCTAATTGCGACAATTTATCGAACTGTAACATCAAATAAAAATATATTGAAACAAAACATGCGAAGAAAATCAATTAAATGCAACACCAACACAAGAATATTTCGAAACGAAACATCGCCGCAAACGTTTTTCAAAGTGAATCATGGAAAACAAATTTTATTGAAATGTAACACGCGGTGTTTCACTTTGAAAAATTCTCTGCCGATGTTACACTTTAAAAAAATCTTTCTTTGGTGTTTCATTTAAATATGCTGTGAATTCAAGTCTCACTTTTGCCCTCACCCATTCATATACATATATGGTGCAACTCCCTTGAATGTCTACCAAACACTTATGATTCACCTCAGATGCGAGCGTGTTTTAAATAATTCATGGCGACGATTCGTTTTTAATTTTGAGCTTCGAATTATTTTTTCAATAACATGATTAAATGCACTGAAACGACACAAATCACAGCCGCTGTTCGGCCGAAGGTTTATGCATTATTTGGGCTTTGACTTGAAATTACCAATTCAAAAAGTCGTAGGCATTAAGTGAATGAAACGCCTTTAACAAGCAACCTTTTTTTTACGAATAACTAATCAACTGAATGATTTAAAAACGCACCTTCTTTCAACACATAAATGCGCTCTAATTGAATTAGCATACAACGTCTTTCTAATTCTAAACAAAAAATGAACTCGTTTCGTTTTCTTTTGGATGCTCGTCCAAAAACGATTTTGAATATATCAAATCGAAGAATGATAGAGTGTTGCTTCCAAATAAACTTGTTTTTGAAATAACAATAAGAGGCGATGAACTGAACCAAATTCGGATGGAATATTTTCGCGTGTCAAACCGACCACATATCGATCCAACGAGAAACACTATTAAAATTCAACAAAGTCACTGGAGAAAGAACCGTGCAGAGGGAAAAATTCTAACGAACAATTAAGTTTTATTGACATGCCAATTTGAACGAAAGAAAAAAAAACAGTTATAAAAAATAATGATAATCGAAGCAATAACCAATTTTTTTACTCCGTTTTTAATTGACATGGTATTTTATTGCCAGCCAAAAATCGGCCGCAATCGAACCAAAAATATACGGAATATTTTTGAGCGCATTCACTTGCTTTGTAAACTATACACACACACGACGAGCGATCAAAATATTAAATAAATTCCAAAGGTTACATGTTTATATGATACGTACAGCAGAAAAAATCGCTTGAACAAAATGGGAGAGCTGAGAAAGAAGTATGAATCGCGTGAAAGGTGTGCGAACGAGCACTTTTGACACGAACTAACTTACTCAATCGACAAACCGCTTGAGACTGATTGAATCGTTGTGTTTTGCACATCGTACAGACTGTTTGGGTTGGTAAGTGCAAAGCAAAATAACACAAAAAACTGATGGATGGAGTGCAAGAGGCCTTTTTCAATAGGACTATTAGCGGCAGCGGCAATACCAACCATTCAGTCAGCTGTTGGGACATTTTTCTCTGACAGTTAAACCTACACTCCACTTACTGCATATTTTTTACGTTCGATTTTGAATCAGACGTTGCGTGAATTCACATACATGGGATTTTGGTTCTTTGTGATTCAATTTTTCTTGAAAACTGAACGAAAATTCAGTAGAAGTTTTCAAAAATCCATTACATTTTGAATAGAAATGTTTAGGTCTGTTTTTGAAATAGATTTGCTCAAAATAGCTTGTCATTACGTTGTTCTTATCGTATACATATGTACCATTTACCTAGCCATTTACATAAACAACTCATTATAGAAACTGTTATATTTTATACTCAATTTGGACACTTTATATTCCATTTGGATTGTATTAATAAAACGAAAGAAACATTGGTAGATAGAAAATGAGCGTTCAGAAACACCAATTAATATGCCAATTTAGCAAATACAATCTATCGTTAATTTAAGTGAGGCTTAGAATCTCGAAAAAAATTCGAATTAAAATTTATTTTTACAAAAACCTATGAGTCGACTCACCCATAGTATGCTGTTCATGCACACCGATACGTATGAAATTTATCGTCACGATAGAGCCTCATCGTACTCTTTCGCTTGGGTCGTGAATTTATTGTCACTTTAAGATTTGATCTAGTTGAATTTATCATGAAAAGGCATTTAACAATTTTTTCAAAGGGATTTTTTCTAATGCAAAATTCACATAAATTCACAAATATTGTTTAATGAAAACATTTATCGAAACAGACACACTTTAGGAATTTTCGGTTAATCAAATGAGATGATGTATGAAAAATTAAGGTAGATCGCAAATGAGAAGCTGCTTATTTTTTATAGATAATTCCACTAAAATGTTTGTTGAGTAGTCATATAGATACTCGCTTTACAACCCAATGAGCCAAACACGTGCAATTATTGTGCATAGTAAATTTTTTCCCAAATCGTGCACAATTTCTACACATATTGTGCCCAGAAACAAAATTTTATCTAAAAATCACACAATTTTTGCACTTTTAGTGCTACATTTAGCATTACATTAAAATATGCACAAAATTCAAACATTTAGCATTACATGTGTTCATTGGGAACGAAATGACAATGGAAGGAGGAGCATTTGGATACTCATATTTTTTGATGAAAAATATTAGTTTCATAACAAATGTAATGAAGCAAATTCTCTGACCAAAATGCAGTTATGACTTTTTGTTGTAAAATCAGTTATAGATCTACGTGTATAATAAACTGCATTGCATCCGTATAAAATTCTAGAGATCGGTCGGTGGTCGCAAATACATCGACAAGGCCATTCAATGAATGAAAAAAGGAAGAATTTGCAATAAAACGCAGAGATTTTTATTAGATTTTTTTCCTCTTTATTATTCAGTAAAAATAGTTGGAAATTTATAAATTTCTTTACAAATTTTATATACATAAATAGTTTGATGGTGTAGCACAATTTCGGGCCGTTATTTTTTGCTTACAATTGTCTTAAAATAAAATCGATTCATGGTTATGGACTTGAGCGTGGGTTGAATTTTCGTTGTTTTAATTTTTCTTTACATCTTTGCTTGTGTATTGAATTTTCCGAATTTGCGTTAGAATCGGTAACGTTTTCGCCCAAAAATTAAGAGTATATAATGATTGAGCATTCATTCATTCAATTGATAAATGTTGAGATGAAACAAAAAGAAAATGTAAGAATGTTGATAGTTTTCATTCAAAATTGATTGAAAATTCGCTTGAAATCGATGTCGATCTCATACGAATATATTAAACAGCTTGAACACATTATCACGACAATGTATCTTTCTAGGTGGTAATAAAAATCTAATCTACTCTAATGATAATCACTTCCGAAAATAAAAACCATTTTTCTTCTTCTTCCTTTTCTTCTTTTGAGTACCAGGAAAAAAAATTACAAAACGCATATTTTACTAAAAAAAGCAATAGACTCTAAATTTCTGAAGGCTAGCCAAAAAAATCATCTTTTAAAATCAATCAAAATAGTATATGACGAAAATGGCAATTCATTTGCTTCACTATCTATGGTTTGCTTCCGTTTCAAAGCAATCGTTAGGGGAATCGAATGTCACCCGTGTGACGAAGTTCGTGGATGCTATGATTCGAGACCGAGCGTTGAGGTGTTGAGCGATTGTAATATAGGTTATGTTGTGATGAGTAACGGTTTGGATTTGGTCGATAGATACCACCTTCGGGTGGTGTGTACTTTCGTCGTGGTGTGTGTTCGTCGCTAGTTTTTCGTTTATTTGGTTCAAATAAGGAACGTCGACGTTCATCCACATAGTAGCGATGTGAATCGTATTGCATGTGACCATCGTATGGTGGTTCGTCATTTGCTAGATTTCTGGCTGAACGCCTTAGTTCTGTTTCACGATCGTTGCTCGATCGTTGCTTTGGCATAACATTCGAATCATCGTAACTGTAGTTACGAGCACCGCTCCATGCGTGATCATTGCCACGCGTATAAACATCAAGTACGGGCTGGAATTGACTTGGGCCATTCATTTGTGATGATGTTCGACGCCAGCCTTCTTCGTAACGTCGACGGGTGTTTTCGTCTTCGATTGCTTGACGTTGTTGTGATTTGTTGCTACTGCTTTCGCTAGAGTCTTCACCTGATGTACCGATACCCTGATCTTTTTCATCGATACCGTATGTTTTGAATGGCGAGTTTAAGTATGATTTGCTGTTAAAGATGCCTGATAGGCCGAGTTGTGGATGTGGAATGCAGTATGGATGTGGAAATGCCTTTTCAATCGAAGACAAACGACCTCGACCCATATCACCACTCAAATTGTCCAGTTGACGTTCATTCGTTGGATCTTTACTGCATGAAACGGGGCCGAAGAGTGATAACAGCACCGGCAACAAGAAGAGACCATGCAATGCACCAAATGTAATGACCAAGAAGATCATTTTGAAGAACACCAAAAATATGTAGCTATCGGCCAGCAACAAAGCAATACAGCCCAATATTGTGCTCACCGATCCTTGGAAGATCGGCATACCCAACGAATAAAGTGCTTCACGAACTCGCTCGTCCGAATTGTTCGACTTGGATGCCATGTATGTGTAGCAGATGTGTGCCGTGAAATCGATTGAGAATCCGATGCACATAATCAAATTGATCATCGAAATTGAGTCCAAATTTACGTCCCAGAGGGCCATATAGCCAGCAACACCCATTTCAATTGACACAATACTGAATGCAACCCATAACGAGCACAGGATATTCGGAATGAAAATGAACGATATCAACATCATAATCACGGCACCCACAATCATACTTTGCACCGACGTCGGGCGCACCAATTCATACTGATCGAAAAACACGAAATACGGATGGAAAATTGATGCATTCAATGGCGAATTATTACAAATTTGTCGCAAATCTTTAACCATCACTTTTTCATGGTTTGTATCGGTGATGTTGAGCGCTTGAATTAAGAACCGAGATGCAATGATCTTTGTTTTGTTCTCGTTGAACTTCACATCGGGATAGTAATCATTTTCTGGGAACAGCCACTGTTGAGAGAGAGAAAATGAAGGTATTAATTTGCGATTCAAACCAAAAAGAAATCAAATAGTCGTCTTACCTCTCTGACTTCATGAATAAATTGCTGCTCTGTGGTGATATTCATTTCCGTTTCTTTGGCAATTTTCAAAAATTCGCGCAACCAATTGAACGAATACGCAGATCCCGAAACATAAGATGTACTCTCTAATTCGTTTGCTAGTTTCTCATATTGCTCTTGAATTTTCTGCAAGAAAATTTAAGACATTCAAATTAATTTGTGAATTTGATGGTGAAAATGTGTTGAATGGCAAAATTCAAGCATTGCATTTCAAATTCTATTGAGAAAAAAAAACAGTCTACTTACCAAGTCTGCATAGTTGAGATCGCCGATGACAATGACTTGCATACGATATGGGAACTCACGATAGAATTCATCTTCAAGGTCGAAAAATTTCACCGAATATGAATCTTCTTTAGATAGTTTTCGTCGTTCAAGACCCTCTTTGATCTGTGTGATGCCATAACCAGCGCCCAACAGATATGCGGCGAATACCAGCAGAATGACCACTTTCATGTAACCATTGTTAACAATGCTAGCGACAACGTCCTTGAAAAATGCCATTCCAGCGTGATCTTTGTTGTCCAATGGATTGTCGGGATCATTTGGATTGATGCCACCCGTGTTGAATGTTCGATAGAACCATGAACGATTTTCTGTAACAAAAACGAAACAAAAAAATTTAGCTGGGATTGTTCAAGTTAATAGATAAACTGTTTTTTGTGAGCGTACAGAACGGGCATGACCGCGTTCTTCCAGGAGCGGTGCACTTGAACGGCGTCGCGAGTCAAAATGCTATATAAGCATAGTGATGTCTATTTTAAAACACACAGCATATTCTCTGCTTATAAGGAATATTATCAATTTACAAGAGCACAGCGAAACACGTTCACAATTCAGCGTCAATTGTTATGTGTCAGATTGTTTTTTTATATTGGCTTGCAAACCGTTTATTTATTCATCAACAGCCGCATGGAGTGCAAAACAAGAGTAAACAAGAGCGGAAGATGAGCAGAGAGAGAGAGAGAGAGACAGAAAAAAATTAACGAAATTCAAAACAGTTGATGAACTAAAAAGAAAAGCATTAGTAAATATGTTGCGCTGCGCGGTCTGACGTTCAGGAAACATTCAATTATTTTTTTATTAGAATGGCATGAGTGTTTGTGCATATTTGTGAGTAATAACGTTGGCGAATTCTTTTTTTTTCTCGTTTCGATAATTTGCATGATTTGCTACCTCTTTTTTTTCAATATATTTTCTGGAAGTTCTTCGAATGTGTTGTTTTGTTTCGGTTGTTTTGAAAATTATGATGAACATAAGGAATGCGAAAAGTCTCGTATTTAACGATCAAACACATTGCGCGCTCGCGAGACATTATTAACCAAATCATATAGCATTATATAATCGACGGGTGTCGCATTGAAAACTCTCGAAGTTTTTAGTCACCTAATTCACTCGAACTCATGAAGTAAAGCAACCAATAATTGGTTGATTCATTTGACAATTTTTACACTGAACCGTTTACTACATTCACAGTAACAGAGGCGCGATACATGATTCATATTGATTTAGAAACCGAAAAAAAACTCGTTTTTTCCCCTATCATTTCGAATTGCTTGGCCTGCGTTTGCGTAAATGGAATTGAATATATGATATTTACCTTTGATGGCGACTGAAACGGGTTTTACTTTGTAGCCGAAAATCGAATGGAGATTTTTCTGTTCGCAATAGCCCGAGATTGCCATGCATGCGGCAAAGAATGTTATGTGCCATACGAAGATAAAGCAAACGGCCATGCCACTGTATTTACAGAAGATTTGCACCGATGGGAATGGACTCATGATACCAATCCAGAACGAAATGATGTCCGTCAATGATGTGATTGTGATTGAAACGGCCGCATCGGACATCGTAATACCCATACGCTCTGGTACACTTAATTTGACAGACGTTCGACGCCAAGCGGCCAACATCACAAACGTATCGTCGATACCGATTCCTGTTTGTTGAAGATAGAAACAAAATATGGTTTTAAATAAGTAATTTTTTTAAAATCTATTAGACTTTGAAATGCAAATCAATTTACCGATCATCAGGAATGGAGCTGCCAGATTCAAGCCAATAAATTCAATTCCAAGGTACATACAGAAACCGAATGCCGCTAATGTTGCCATAATGGCAGATAAATTTCCGAGAAAACCAAGCCATGGTTTCGAACGTACAACATCACCCATCATACATGTAATTACACTGTGAATACAAATAAGAACGAGTTGAATTACAAATTAATTACTGGTAAAACAAAGAAAAATTCATTTCATGACCAAAGTCAAATTTTTTACACTGAAAATTCGTCAGTTAATGCGTTAAAAATTATAGTGACAATATTCACCTAAAAGAACCCATTAAAAGGAATGTTGATGAGAAATATGGCACAACAGTTCGAGTGTTCCTCTCCAGTTCATGATCCAATGTGCGCGACGCAAATCTGGCTATACGAATATGCTTGAACATACCACTATTCTCAGCATGTCCAACGACACTCAAAAATTCATCTTCCCATATGCCACCTCTGCAATTGTAATGGATCATATTAATAATTGTTCGTGGGCAAAAACAAAATGTGTCAATTCATGTTTCACACATAGATTTCTGCAAGCTCATGCTCACAATACCATTGGATTCTATTCAATTCATGCTTACAAATGGGTAAATGGATTGTATCCTTTTGAACTTACTTTTCAAGTTGGCGTGGTGTGTCAACAGCAACAAAGTAAACCATTTGCATCGCTGGTACACTGGCTATCGTTCGATCGGCTGTCAATTCGGTACCGCCGAAAAAGACTGGAAATACGTGTGTATCAAAAGTCTTATAATTGACCATAATCGGGAAGTGAAGTTTTAGTTCGCCCGATTCAATCTGTGGAGAAAAATGAATGATTTGTTCATTGAATGTTTGCACGATTTTGAAGGAAATTCCAAACTTACATCGTCCATCATTTCGTCTAGATTGAGGATATCATTCTCAAAGCATTCGCCCAGCGATCGTGCACAGATATCGTTATATCGATATGATTCACCATCGTACATAGCCGTTGCATTGTGAATTAAACTGTCCAAAACACGAAGCTCTTCAAACACTTCACGTCTTATCAAGTTCCGATCACCATCCTTTGTTGTGATAATAACCCGTCCAAATCGACCTATAAACACACAAATAAAAAGGGTTATCAGTCAAATGACCTTTTAAGCAATTATTCTATTATCATCATCTAACAATGCTAAAAATAACCAAATGGAAGCTTTGTATGTGAATCGACAAAAAAAACCCTGTCTGTATCGTTTCGTTAGATCGTGTGTACCGTGTCTTTTGCATGTAATTGACCGTTTTAGATACTCAACCAGTCATTATTTTTATCATTCACTCTCCCCCTTTCGATTCTGACACAACTTGATACCGTCGAGAGATAGAGTACTTCAACATTGGATCAATTATATTGTATCATCTCTCAGCTGTTGAAATAATGCGTTAATGAACTTAAATTCATTCATTTGAAGAGAAAACCGCGGAATGAAAAAAAAACAACAAAAAGAGGTAGTGAATAGCCGTATTTAGGGGTCAGTTTAAACCATTGCTACTTTTTCACAATCAACCAAATCAATACACTTGTTAAGAAAGTGTACTAGTATATGATTTTTATCACAAAAAATTAACGATTCACTAATAATAGTGCGTAATGCTTAGGAACAATGACAACGACAACGGCAGACTTTGGCTTTTGAGGTGTGATGTTTTGACGCCATATCTGACTCAACATGCAACTGCACATTACACAATTTGCAACCGTTGATGAATGTTAGATTCATCAAAAAGCAGTACAATGCATTTCTGGATGGAACTCTGATGTGCTGTGCGATTGCATGACACACAGACACACCAAATAGGTAATTTTGCATAATAATTTCAATTGTTCAAGATATCATTTGAATGCACGAATCATCTGAGTGAGCCACGTTTATTACGAGCTATCAGAATCATCAAAGTCATTATCAGAGATTTTATTATATTATTTGCTGCTGTGCATTGCATCTTCCAAACGTAATCGTGAATAATTCGACCAACCCAAAAAAATAACAACAAGTTTGCTGCTTATCATTTCGACTGAACAGGGTTCGTGAAACAATTTTACGAATCTCGCGTTAGTTAATTTGAATCCGTTCACTTTTTAAAATGTGTGCGTGCACTTTAATTGCTTCAAATTAATTATGTCGCTTAATTACATAAAATCAGTCTTGCACGAGCGAAAAGCCACATCCAATAAATGTGTTAAGAGAGTGAGAAAAAAGATCGTCTTGTGTAATAGACGGTTTTCTACTAGATTTCATAGAAGACTTACGGCGGATGAGAGTGCACACCGTACAGTACAACACACATGCATAAGCCTTGAAAAAAAATGTTGAAACGAATGTACAGTATGAGTGCCAAACGCTGTTTGAATTGATAAAATAAGATTTTTTTTCTACATCATATTATATCATTTAGAATATTCATAAGTTAACGGCATCGGCTGCAATTCGATTGTTTGTGAACGCCGAAGCGCTTTTGCCCGCTATGGACTGTAACCATTGATAGACATCTTTTGAGCAAATCATTACTTATTATCGACAGTCTGATTAATTTTATATGCTCAATTGCTTCTCGACCAACAAACTCGGTGTTTTCTACATGCCTAGCAACAAAGTAACGGTAAAACCGTTCAATGCTCATTCGTGCAAGTAAAAAGAACTGACATGTGGTCAAATCCGGCGATGGAAAATATCAAATGGTCACTTGGCAGGAAAGTCATGAACACATTTTACTACCGGAATTGGTCTTGGCGATAATGGTTGCGGCATTTATTGCACGATTGTGTTTTCTTTTGCTTCTTCTTTGCATTGTTCCTAGAGAATTATCGGTTTAGAGCTTTTGCCAAAAGTTCCTATTTCAACTGATTAAAAACCGTCGTAAAGCCATTTAGTACGAATAATGCGACGATAACAAGTGCAATTGCTTAGATTTTATTCTATTGAGATTGGCCGTTTACGTTGGTGAGACAATATGATTAGACGTTGAAAGGATCATATGAACGAATGAATGAAAAAAACTTAAGCTTGTATATGCACGACATGAACGATTGAGAGAAGTGAACGGCATGACAACGCAAAATATTATTCGGCACATTTTGAAATGAACGTTTTCTGTTGGTTGATGTAATTGGAAAACCAGTTGGGTGTGTGTGTGCGCATTAGAGAAACAACACTTCATTTTTATCGCTTGGTGCGATTGGTCGTAGAATGATGTTGCGTAGGCGATCGCGATCCCTTGCCATAAATTCAAATCAACAGCACACACATGTGGATCATATCAGCTATATCTTAGCGGACGAATTGAAAAAAAAACTCCTTTTTTTTAATTCTCCAATGTTCAGATAAGCATTGATGCAGATGGTAACGGAAAGCCTTGGATCGGGTTAGTTCACGGTTTTTACCCTTTTCACAATTCGAATGCCGAACGTCGATCGTTGTGATGCTCTTTAGATTTCACAATCACAATATGACATCCGCAGAATCAAAGAAAAAGATACCATAAATTCAGCAGAAAATGATTTATTTTACATCAAATGTTTTCCATTTCTTCAGTAGAAAAATATTATTTAGTCAAGTGTTTAATGATTTTTTCATAGATTCTCTTTTAACTGGACCCAAAAGCCGCTTCATTCGTTAAAAACCAGAATTTTAATCGTTCAATCAATTGAGCATATGGTTGTAGCGTGTGACACTTTGCAATGATAAATTTTACACATATATTCATTTCATTGTTCCACATGTAAGTATGTATATACATAGTCCTTATGCAGACGACACGATCAAAGTAATTTCAGCCGTCAAATGACGACACACATTAATTCATTTCCATGTTTTTGTTTCGCCACTTGAGTTTTTATTTACTGTTTACATGTGGAAATAATAAACAAAACTCGAAATGAATTAATTTCGGCAGTTAATTGTATTGAAGTTACTTGGCTAACGTGCGCCAAGAATTATATTTGGCCAAGAAGAATGAATGCAAAACAGATGGGATTGTCGAGGCCTTAATTGAAATATGTCGAAACTATCAGTCTAGCTAACGATGTGTTGATCAAATACCCATTCATACATTGTTGCTTCGTCAATTTTGTGTGACCAAGTTCCAGCGCGATCTTATTATACTCTAATGTAAAATTCATCGAAGCTGATTAAAAATATGGTCATACTTCCGCAGAAGTTGCGCATCGACAGTGAAGCAAAGAAAAAACAACAGTTCCATTTTGTTGAGTATTCATCAGAATATATCAGTTTGAACTTTGAACCAGTGATGGAATGGCATACGCCACCGTAGTCCATTCACTGGCTTATGCAGAATGTAAGCGTAAGCCAACCATAAGCAATGAATGCGTTTAAATACGTTTGACGTCATTTGACAGCTGGATAATTTGTGTTGGCTTACGCCCGCTTATGCAAAAGTGGACAATTGTCCAGCCTATCTAACAACACTGCTTTGAACGTTGAAAGACGAAAAATATGAACAAACTGGAATGATTCCAGTGAAATATCGAATATTTTAATCGCATTTATTAATTAGAGAAAGTTCATCGGTGAAGAAACATTGTAAACAACTTGTGCGTTTTGTATTTTTTTTTATCTTCGCATTAAAAATTTCCATTTTGTTCCGCTCACATTTTTTTTTATCTTGTTTGTTTTTAATGCTGTCAAATGCACTGAACTAAATCAGTACATGCGTTTCACTCGCGCTCAAAGAACTAATCTCATCATTTTATCTATGGCAATGGAACCGATTAAAATATGCCAATGAGATCGGACACGGTCTTGAGCTAAACATTGCCTAATTACTACACTTGAACGTTGTTGTTCAGTGTTTGATGCAGCTCTGCGGAAATTACAAAGTGTGTTTCACTGCACTTTTTCGTTTGTTTTTTTTTTCAACAATCTGTGATTTGTTCGCCTTCAAATGGCAAAATTATATATTTCACAGCATTTTAACTTACAGTCACAAAGTCTCCAAATACTCTCGCTCGAATTGATTGTGAGGTGCGAACGAGCACGTAGCTGAAATCATTCATTCATTCTACACTCTCTCTGGTGTGTAACCAACATGACGTGCAGTATCTCATTTACGTTTCATATATAAATTAAAAAAGACCTTTGAACTCTGTAATGATTGCGCGAAAATCCAATCAAACTGGTAATTTCAAAATTATTATGAGGCTTGTGCGCGGTGTGTGAAATCTGCATAGATTAAATTGCACAAATTATCAATAAAATATGAGCGCTCGTATTTGCTATGCACCTTATGATTTTTAAAAGGAAGAGCTACGCAGTGATGTGATATACAACTAAACTAAGAAGCTAATCATCTGTTTATTTTGCAATTAATTATAACGCATATCATATCGCAAATAGTAAAATGGCGCACGGCATTACGATATTCGCTAATAGTTTTCAGAGAAGTTCTCTCGCTATTGTTGTTGTTGTTGTTATTATTCGAACTCATTAAAATCGTGTAGTCAATTTACATACCGGCTCTTGTGATTCGCTCCACACTAAAGCTCGACGTATAGTTTACTCTGAAAAATTCCTCAACAATCGCTCGCTCGTGCTTTCCGGCTCCATTTTGCGGCGAAAATAAATACTCTGGATCTATTTGATACTTAAGCTGTTGATAACTGAAATGAATGAATGTGAAAAAAATAATGGAAATGGCATGAGAAAATGTTGATTTCAATGAAATATGCGCTCGGCATTATTTGTGGTTTAAATGCAGTGATTGCATAGAATGAATGTGAGGAAAAGTTGTTTACTTACCCTGTGATAAATATAATTGTTAATAATACTGGAACTATTATAAAATAACCTGGATTTCGGCCAATCACTTTGCCTAATTTATAAAATGATCTATTTAGTGTTGTATCAACACATGACACTCCCCAAGCCATCTGAAAGAAGGAAGAGAAACAATGGAACAATATTAAATTTGTTGTGGATTAAAAGAAAAATATTTTCAAATATGGACTGTGCAGGAATTTAAGCTAAAAATGGATGTGACTTGAAGCGAGAAGTATTTTCTTATAGGCCAAATATGTCATTGATCGAACCTATTGTTAGTTTGAAAATGAAACATCTAACGAATCATGAACAATATGCTTCGATTCATGTGAGCATTCGAACTGGAATAGTTCAGCCAATATGTTATGACTTCGAATGAAGGCACATGAATCATTTTTTTTTTCATTCAGTTCAAATCTGATTACCACTTTGTTATGCTTAAACATTGTCAACACATCTCAATGGAACTAACCATTTGCACACATTGAACGCATGTATTTGATTTTTTTCAATGTCAAACTTGTAATTTCACCTAATTAAAGAATCGTTTTGAAAACGTGGCGCTCTTCATGAAGCAGTACTATTAGCCGTACATCACCGAAAATAGCATGGGCCCTAAAGTGGAATAGTGTCGTTTATGTTGCCGAAGTCATATTTTTTTTTGTTTCTGAATTACTGCCTCGTTAATATGTTCATGACCGGGTCTTATCAATATCTTAACGAACAACAACAAATATTCCTTTTCAAGTTTGTTCAAGACTCGTAAATAAAATAGTCACCGACTAGTGTGACAAATGTACGCGAAAACGACTGAATTATGTTTGTGTGTAAAATTTTATTTACAAATCCTCTGGCAAGTACGAAGTGCATGGTGAGGAATATTAATTATTGAACACGAATTGGCTATTTAGGTGTACTCTATCGATCGGTTAAGCATTTACTCGCGCTGTTGATTGTTTGAAAATGTACGGCGACGAAATTCGACAAATTGAATGTATATTAAAATTTGTGTGTGACAAGCGAAGGAGTGCAAAAAAACAGCAGCACTCAATTAAGCCTTCTTAATATGTGCAACGTAAAACTGACACGTTTCCAACATTGACCCAATTCGGGCGACGACACAACCAAATCATCGGTCATTAGTACCTCATCGGTTCATATGCCTTCTGTATCTGCACAGTGATTCAGTTCGCCAGACGATATTCAATGCTATTCTTTAATGGACACAAGTGATAGATATCGGCTTAACAAACGCTATCAGATTCGATTCTCAAGCAATTATCGTGAGAAACCAATTCAAATGGTTCCTTGAAGCATATGCGTGGTGTTTTAGTAAGCTACACCATGACCGCAATGAACTGTATGGCAAAGAAAGTCTAATTATGCTAGACCTTCATCGTTCATAAAAACCCGGCGATTACTTTGAAACACAATGGGTTTCTATTCGCGGTGAAAAGTTAAATTTCACGGAAAAGTATCAACTTGAGATTAAATTTGTTGTAATTTTGGCACGGTTTCTCAGTGTTTTTTTTTTTTTTGCTAATTTTAGACACAAGGTAACATTTTTTTTCATTTGAAACGATCACTTTCAAACCGAGACTTATTCCAAACACAAGATTACTTCGAAGAAATGATTCTCAATCATTGATTTTATATTCGAAATGTCTCATATGAGTTTGGCATTATTCATTTTTAGTTGCTTTTGAAAATTACAAAAATAACTTGTTTCTTCAGTACGAAAATATTCAAACACACCATAAATGTTTATTATTAGCTTGGGTATTCAATGAATAATAATTGGTAAAACACTTTTATGTTTAAACTCGATTTGTTTTTTTTTTTCGTGACAGAGAGAGAGAAAGAGATGTTTGCCAGCTCACAATTTATTCAGGACTGCCTTAGATTATCTTTGCGACTTTTCAGGCAATTGTGTTTCTGAAAATTGTGTGGGGATTGAAACGTTTAACCCTGCTTTGACCGTTGCGCATTTCACATTTGCATTTGAAACCAATTCGTTACAGTTGTTTTTGACGTAAACCGACGAAAATTGATTGCAACATCAAAATTTGTAGTTTGTGATTCGGGTTTTCCGCAACAGATTTGGGTCGTTCATAGGTTAATCAGATTGGTGATAGCAAAAAAATCAACATTGCATTTCACTTTAAATAAGAGTGAATCACCATTGAAATTTTCTCTAAAACATATCTCATTGGTATTTGGTGCATTTTTACTGTGAATTCACTTGCGAACGTCAACATTTTTGAAGATTATTTTCAACTTGAAATTGTTACTTCACGCTGTTGTTGACAAACAATGGAAAGCTAAAGCCGTAACTCGTACGAGGAGTATTCTTTGTAATTTTCTGTGGAGGAAACAATAGAAATAAATCATCCTCTGCCGAAAAGCAGCTATTGAAAATGGTCGTCACGTACGTTTGTGTTGAATAAAAATGGTTGGTTTCCCATATGTATTGATAAATATATGAATCGCATCATCGAAATTACAATGAGTAACGACAATATTTTTTCTGTTCGTTTTTTTTTTGTTGTTGTTTGTTTTTTATCATTTGACTTCGGCGAACATCGCAAAAGCAAATTGGTTTTGCAGATTAATAAATCGCATTGGGTGGAAAATCGAAAAACGGATTTGCAAGAAATTCCGCTTAAGTATTGCAATTATACCTCAATTTTTTAATTATTTCTCCGCCATTTAGTTGCTGCTTTGCCCGGTTAAGCCTGAAGAGCCTTTGTGTATTTTGTACAGAATCGACTAAACAACGGAAATAATTTTGTGCAATTTATGAGCGAGAAATGTCATTAAAGTTGACGGTCGCGTCCGCGCTCGCGCTCGCACAAGTCTTGCAAACAACAAATTGCCGAAGGAATGTTGATGTAATGCTACGTTTTTCCGCAAATAAAACATCACTTTTTTCGTACAAATGAATGGGACTCTATTTTTTTTTTCAAAAAATATCCATTATTCAAAGAAAAGCAAAATATGTATTTTGTGTTACTTTTTAAGCATTTTGTTTTGCGCTTGACCTTCAATTGTTGAATTTATAAAATTTTTTTTTTGGCATAGTCTTTAGTTCACGTATCGCACATTCAACAAAGAAATGATTAATTTGTTGGAAGAAGCGCGAGATATTGTTCGATTGTTTGTATGTGTGTCTGAATTGATTGGTTTTAGACTTGACATTATTGTATACAAAGGGAAATCGGTCATTGAGCCGTTTTTTGTGTTGACTTTTCGCAGTCAAGTAACAAATAAAACGATCGACGAAGCGAGCACGTCCAGCCAATTCCATTAGGTCATTTACATGTTTGTTGTCTCACACTTAAAAGTTGATCTATCGCTCATCTACTGATTTTCGTCTCACCACGGAAACAAAATCCAATGACAAACGAGATGCACACACGTGTTGTTATATGGCTCAACAGTATTTGCATAAAAATCCATCGACTTTTCGAGATTATGCATTCTTTCTCTATCTAATTAAGATTCAGGCGAATCATTTCCTCTCTTCAAATCAAACCGATTTTATCAAAACTTTGGCCAAAGATTCTATTAAAAAAAAAAAAAAATTACGAAAAAAAATCGAAAGTAAAAAAAAATGTTGTCGTCTTTTCATCACACCAAGAAAAACGAATCATTGAATTCGATTATGTATTCAAACGTGTGTTTTTTACCGTGTCATACGTGCGCAAAGAACAAATAGAAAGAAAACAAAAAGTGAAAACGTATGCGCCATGGAAATTGTTTAATGATTTGTCGTAACTTCCGAACAAAGAAAATGTGGCGTTTATCTTATGTTGTCAATAAAGTCAATGTTTGAAGAGAGATGTTTTCTCTGACGTTCGTGATGAAATGCCCATTTTGTTTATGAAAGCCATTTTCAAGCCACACACACATTCAATTTTCGATTTTAAAATTTTAAATCAGATGAAACGGAACTTCAGCCGCCTTACGATATGTAAAGTGATCGGCATTAAGTAATCCTAACAATTAAGAAATTTTACTTTCAAATATATAAGGAAAATGGGTCTACATTGATTCGTTGATTGGTCGCGCGCAAGAGTCACTCGAAAAACACTCGCATAAATATTGAGCGTGGCACGAATTAAACGGTACCATGGTGCCATAAACCATGTTTCGGGTTCGTTTCCTATATCTCAATAACGTGAACGCATAATATATTTTGTAGCGTCGCTGTAACATTGTGCCAATGAACTGATGCGGTTACGTCTTTTATTTCTCGTCTATTTTTAGGGCTTCAGAAATATACTTGTTTTACAGCAAGTGTTTCTTGTTTTTTCTTCTTTTGCACATTAACTTAAACAACAACACGTGAATTTGAATATTTTCACACATTTTTTTGTGTGTGTCAGAGAATAACAAAAGGAACATGATTCTTTATAAAGTGAAGGTCTGAATTTGACCTATATCGTCTATATCTTGAAAATTAATCATTGAAACTTCCGATCCGTGTGATAAGCATGACGACACCTTGTTTTCGCTGCTAGATGATTATTATGAGACACTGATTACCCACATCGTTTTTTTTTAACATTATATGATTTTATGTCAAATTTACATTTGTTTATTTCTGACATGCAAAAATGAATTAGAAAATGGTTTCACCCATGCAAATCACCACTTACAGTTAGAGTTAGAGTTAGCGAATGAAAAACTACACTCACCCGACAATTCCACAGCATTTTGTGTGATTACTTAAATAATAAGTTAATAACGATAGGAAGCTATTGTGTTTGTGTGATTAAAGTCCCCGTTGATGAATTATTTTGTGTTTTTGCCAAATTTTATCATAATTTACAACCATGAACCCATGATTAGAGACAAAAAATACCCAAAAAAAGAGCACCCGTGTTAAAAGTAAAGCTGGATCGATGATAAAGCGCCGGTTTTAAACTAAGGTATACCACTGTGAATATGAAAGTGTTTATAATTAATGGAAGAAGATAAAGAAACAGAAGAAGGAGAAGAAGAAGCTAAAACGGATCAAATATTAGTATTGCAGCGTGGGTTAGATTTGAAAAAGGGCCATTTTCGAAGTTTTATTGTTATTAAACCGAAACCATTGCAAGATCCA